AATAAGGCCAAAACGTCCACTAATAAAACAGACATTTGTCAAGAAGGCAGAAACCCTGGGAGCCTCTGCTACCTACCAGCCATTTGCTGATCGTGTGCTGTCCCTCAAGACGCGCAAAGTCGGTCGGCACAGTCCCGTCGTTAGCATAACCCTTGCTCCCTCATACATCCCTTCTAGGTTGCACTCTACCATGGCTCCCTCAGGATGCCAGAGCTTTGCAGCAGTTTCAATGAGACTCCAAACGGTGCTGCTTTGGAGCGCGTGCCGACCATGCTGATACTCAGGATTCGCTCTGCGTCGATGTGAGACAAGAACTTGACTTTGGCGTCCAGGCAGTCCCCGAAATGAAAGATGCATGGTCCCAAGCGGCAGGAGAAGCAACGAAGAACGTAGAGATACAGCACGACTCAAGTACACTTACGGTACATAAAGCCTTTCACAGAAGCACGCTACCCTTCTCTCGCAACCTCTTCCATGGTGAATGAATAGGAACTCAACTTGAAGCAGACTGAAGAGTCAAATGCTCTGTTAGCTATGGCATGCTCAACTTCCGCCTGTATCTAAGCCTCTATATAAGCCTGCAGTAGCAACGTGAACGGTGCGCAGCATCTAACAGCTGTATGTCACTGCCTCAGAAGGGAGTAGGACTCTCAAATGCGGCATCCCGCAAGGGCTTTCAGGCTTTCTTCTCTAAAGTGGCTGACATGTAAGCTTCTGACGAAATTCAGATCTAAATAACTTGCAAACGTCAGGCTAGCTGCTTTACTGTGGCTCTTACTGCGTCTTGCGGCAATTTTGCCAGCTATTACTGGTTTGATCGTTTTTTGTAGGGTAGAGGAAGCTTTGCAGCATAACGAAACCGTAGACATCCTAAAGAACGACATGCTACACATGGAAGGTGCTGCTGGCACAGCACTGCAACTGGAAACCGAAGAGGGTCTGAAAGAGGCATTCACATTCACTGATCTCTCCCACTCAAAAAACAAGCTCATTTCGTACATCCGATGGATTCCTGAGTACGGCAGCAGCGTTTTCTGCTTGCACTCCCTCCCACCTACCCCGCGCCCCCGCCAGTAATAAAATTTAATCGTTGCGATCAAAAACACGATTCACTAACTCGCTGAATGTTTCAAGTTCTAAGAAATGAACACTTTATGCGAATAGGTCAGAAAAGCTGATAGCATGCGCCGCAATGGACACTGCATCCTTCGATGAACGCGTGGATGCTCCTTCTCGTTCGTCAAAGTCTGTTATCCTCATTTGGTCTCTTGAAAATCCGCTTGTTCCCCAGCAACTGTTTGTTGCTCCTTCTGTAAGACACCAGCAAATACTTGTAGCCACCCTGAGGCATTCTCTACAGCTTAAATGGCAAGTTTTCGGTGCCCACGACGTTTTACATATCCTGTAGAGTAGTACGTGGCAATACACCCACTGTTGAAACCAGCTTTCACCTCCCACGCCGAGTAATGATCATAGGTTCGCACTAGACGTTTCACATACGCCAGTACTTCCGCCTGGTGCAGTACGCCTGGAGAACGTGCACCCTTTACACACACATAGAGACAGCAAACCAGCAAGCGGCAGAGATACACAGCTGTTCACCTGCACAACTTGCAGGGCGAGATGTACGGCTCCCGTGCCGCCGTCGAGAGCTATTTTGCCGTGATAAATGCCAGCTAAATAAGAAGCTTTCGATTTTTGTGTTTTCAAGGGGAAATGATTTTGCATGCTCAGCTCAGTGTGTATTTTGCTGTCCCATTGGAGGTGATTTGCGTGTAGGAAGTCACAACATTTTGTTTCGTCCCAGCTGCGCAAAATAGGCTATATTTGGCTGCCGGCTTGCTCAACGGGCAGGTGAGACAGCTAATGGCGGGCAATAGGTCGAATACCGGCACAGCAACCTAAACGTTGCTTGGGCACCAACTAGATCTGGCTAGCGCTGCAGCGTTCTGGGTATGGAACCTCCGCAGTCTGTCTGGCAATGAACCTTTTGCAAACGCAGTGCGCCTTGGGCTACGATATTAGCATGCACAGTGTCCATGCCGTCTGCAGGTTGCAATATGGGACGCAAGTTCTCTTAGGTTGCAACAGGATAGCTCCGGTAAGGATACTCCTCTGGAAGCGTCAAATCCAGCGCGTAGAACTTTGCTCTTTCAAGCCGTTGCTTGTGGCTGCTACCTCTAGCTAACGACGCTTTCCATAACGGTAGCTGCAACTGACCACTTCTTTAGTTTGAATCTCTGCCCCTTTGCGCCTCAAGAAGCAAAACAAA